GATTTTCTGTGAGAAATGTGTCCAATCGCTAACTGCAATTGGTGGATGGGCTTTACACTCGCTGCCCTGGCGTGGAAATTGTGGAGTACCGCCGCAGCAACCCATCGTAATTCGAGTTGCTGCAAAATGGAAACCCCTTGGCAACTTCGCCTCGACCTTGCCGTGGCTGGAAAGCAAGTACCTATGGGTAATAACAAACCAAAATTATTAATCAATGGATATTTTGTTGCGGACCGGACGCCGCACACGTCATCCGTTAATTTAACGGCAAATAACGGTGGTGAAAAAGTGAGAGCCAGATTCTGCGGACGGCAGTACGGCAAATAGCGAACCGGATATTACCGGACGAATATCACACTCAGTTTTACGGACCGGACTTAACAGACCGGACGGCACCTGAGTGTGGCCACCTCTAGAATGCGCTGCAGTGCAGCTGCTGGGATCTCGGCTCTGTATGGTACCCGGGCTCCCCGTGGGTGGTACCCTTTGTAGTACACACCACCGAATGGGTCATGAAACGCCCCCAGCGTATCCCAGAACCCATGGGCATCCTGTATCACAGGGGCATGCACCATAGGAGCTGGTCTTTGGGGCATTTCACAGGGCACTTGAGGTCGGCCTGGCTCTTTTTCGAGCTGCTGTGCCCTGCGCTACTGATATCCTGGACCAGGCTTCCCAGGAAGGTATTTGATACCACTGGGTTCCTGTCCAGAACTGCTCTCGCCGGGGGGAGCTCCCTTGGCCTGTCGGCCTGCACGTCGAGACTCCTGAAACTGCAGGAACTCGGCGTAATCCTCTTCCCCCATCATGGCCAGCAGTCGAGCAGTCTTATCAGCTTCTGCCCTGGCCTTTTCCAGGGCTGTCTCTTGCCTTTGCACAGCAGCATAAACTTCCCTCCTCTCTTGAGGAATGGGTTCTGCTGGCTCCCCTGCCAGACCGAGATACACAACTTTGTCATATCCAGCAGAATCACTAACTTCTGCACATGTACGCAAGTGTGTTTTCATAGCAGGGTTAATGGGAAACACTGCATCGGCAATGTTACCTGGAACTACTCTCTGAGTTCCTTGAGGTTCCTCCCTTGCCTTTCCAGGCTGCTGCGGTGCCTTTCCAGGCTGATCCTTTGCCTTTTTAGGTTTCTTCTTCTCCTTAGAAGATGTTGCCTCCTTGGGGACTGGAGTCTCCTCAACGGGAGGCGACGCCTTTCCAGGTTGTAGAGGGATGAATTGAGCGGGGTGAGTCACACCACTATCGCTTCCACTCGACTCATCAGCCCATCTGGCCGTTTGCCGCGGCGGGGCCCTTTCAAGCTCAGCGAAAGCTTTTGCTTGTTGGGCCGGATCCAGCTCGTTGGCCGCCGGCTTCGCCTCAAGGCGCTGTGCCTTTTGGCTGCCTCTTGCAGCGAAAAACCGCCCGATCTCAGCCTTGCGCTGGCGTTTGTGAGCTCTCTTCCGCTCATATTTTTGCGGATTTAACTGCCGATCTCGCTCACGCCAAAAGGCTTTCATCTCTCTGCGCTAGCTGGCTTTTAGCGCCTTCCTTTCATCCAACTTCTTTGCACGAGCGAATCGATCCCGATTTCTCATGTGTCGTCTCTCTTTTTCCATTCTATACACTTGCACCCGCATCGACATATCTCCCGGCAACGGGGAAGCGCAGGATGAGAACGACAATTCGGAGATCTCTGCCCACCGCTCGTGGGGATCGTTGGAATCTGGCCTTTCCGGCATTCCCTCGCTCAAGTCCCACGGTTCAGGGATGTGCCTAAGGGCGAAAGCCATTTTTTCAGGCTATTTTGGGTCCTCTGGCTATTTGATTTGCCATCCCAGGACCGTACCACCTTTGGATTCTCACTAATCTCGCGGTGGTTAATTTTCCTCCAAAATGTTCGGCGGTCATTTGCCAGCCTTCGTCCAATTCGTCCACAAGATCACTGTGGAACTTTGTCCACATAGCACGGCATGGTGGTTGCCGGCTATATGGCGTACCAGTGTCCGGAATAAATTCCAGCACCCTGGTGCTCTCCCCCAGTCCCCACTCTGGTAATGCGGGTCTTTGGGGACTCCAATCATGACCTTTCGGCCTTTCCGGACTAGGGTCGCACACAGCACGAGCGCTTTCCATGAGCGACTCGTCACTGCTTTGCTCCGGCTCACTAGGTGTCCTTATGTGCACCTGTGATCTGACCCTTGGCTCATGGGTCTCGACCTTCCGGCCTCCGATCTCCACCATTTGCCCAACGGGCTGGACCTTCTGGCCTTTTTGCTCACTCGTCCGAATTTTTGGCACCGTCTCACCTGGCAACGGGCTCTTCTGCTTGGGCCGCTGCTTGCCGACAACCTTCCAGTCGCCCTCTGCTTCTGGAATCCTCGGCAGTGGCTCAGATGGACCAGTGCCCATTTCGGGCTGTTTCTTCTGTTGAGCGACCTTCCCTTCCGCCTCTTGAGCTCTCAGCTTTTGCTTCAGTAGGCGGTCGCTCAACTGGGCGACATGTTGTTCAGTGGAGGTCTTGGCCTCCTCCGCTTGGCGGCTCAGCTTTTTCGCCTTTCGCATGGCGACCTCATTTCTGCGGGCTTCCTTCTTCGCTTTGTCCGCTTCAATCTCGAGAGCGAGGATCTTCTCGGCGGTCTCTTCGTCCCGCTTCGCCCTCGCTTGTTGAGCCGCCGTAGCCGCCATCTTTTCCAAAAGCTCCATGATGCCCGGCGCCTGTAGTAGGGCCGCCACTGTACCCGGTTCTGGCACCTCCTCTGCTGGAGCTTCTTCCGCCTCGGCCATCGGCTGGTCGCCTCCTTCCGGCTCCTCTTGTGGCGCCGATGGTCTGGCTATGTCCTTCCGGACTTCTTCCTTTCCCTGCCCATTCCGGGCTATAATGTCTTCGCCGCCCGAACTGGTCGGCGTCCCCTTCCGGGGTGAATCGTCCTCCGCACCCGAAGATGCGGGGCTGCCCTTCAGGGCTTCAGGATCCAATTCCTCGGCCTCCATGGGGGAGGCCGGGGAGGGAGCCCGCTGCTCCGAGCTTGTGCGTCCGCCTAGGCAGAAGCGTGGTAGCCACCCCCAGGTGGCTCCGAAATCAATGATACATGAAGTCTCTGGGTGTGGGGCTCCTGCCCTCTTTGAGCCACGGACCCGCCTTGCCGGGCACCTAGGTCCTTACGGGGACCTAGGCGGGACCACCCCTCCTACTCCCGTATCCTAATACCTAGTATGATTACTATGGGTTGAGGATAGTTAACTTGGGCAGGGTATCCCCCACACCAAGGACCATTAGTAGGGCGTCCCCCACATCAGGTCGGCGCGCGTAACACCCGCCCTTTGGTTTTGACCTTCCTTTTGCATTGTGCATGGCGGGCTCGCCTGCCCTGCTTCCCATATTGTGGCTGCCCGCGGCTCTTGAAGTCTCAAGGCTAGCAAACCCATTTCAGTCATCAGTGTACCCCACGGGGTAGTAAAGCAACCCCCCGCAGGTCACACACTAGACCGCGCCACTGTCGCAAAAACGAACAACCGGGCCACTGTCGCAAAAACGAACAACCGGGCCACTGTCGCAAAAAAGAACACTTTGGGCATTGTGGCAGAAATGAACAACGTTATGGTAATAATGAGCACCACTGTTACAAAAAAGAACAATTTCACTATCACACAAAAAATAGTAACCCCCATGTATCACCATCCTCAGGAAGGTGTCCAGTCCATTCGTCTAAAGACAGCTTGTCTAACAGATAAGGGACAACTTGTCTAATAGATAAGGGGTCTAAGGACAACTCATCTAACTAATGATCCACCCTATGCGCGGCTATGGGTTGGTTATGTACCAATGACACAACCTTCTCTATTATGAATACCACTCGTTTTCAAAATCGTTGCATGTGTTCAAACGCCCTATGGTGAAGTCAATTGCAATGTTGACTCTGTCTTTGTATTAGATGGGTTGCCTTTAGATGAGTTGAGTCAACTCATCTAAGTAGTGCCCATCAAATGCATTTAACCTACAATTGCCTTTGATTCCGTTTGTGGCGGGCTGCATTCCAAACTTGTTCCTTGGCGTGTCCCTGACGCGCACAGGGGGCGGGACAACATGGGAAGGTGAGCGCCGGTCCAGGCACATGGCTGGCAGGTGTGGCACAGTTTGGCGCAGTGTGGGGCGTCGACTGGCAGCTATGGAAAACGAAGATTTTACAAGGCGTGGATGTGGATCGATGGGAGAGGTGGCCGAACATCAGTGCCGGTTGGCAGCGATAGAGCCAGCAGATCCTCCAAGGCATAACAATAGATCGACGGGAGCGGTTGGCGAAAGGGAGAGTCGACTGGCAGATATGGAGCACGGATATTCTCCAAGCCACGAAGGTGGATCAACAGGAGAGGCAACCGAATGGCAGCGCCGATTGGCAGCGAGGGAGCAAGCAAATCCTCCGAGGCAAGAAGGCGGATTGATAGGAGAGGCAGGCCAACGCGACCCCGGTCCACAATAGGAATTGATTCGCAGACAAAGAGCTAAACGCAATATGCAAACAATTGCTTTTGTTTTATTACCACAAGAACATATAACATACCATTTTGGTGCACCAACTTCAACTGGAATGCGGATGTGAGTGAGTTAGTTTTTGGGTTTAGGGGAATGTATTTAACGGGCGAGGTCCCTCTGGTCACCGGCTTGAGCTGGAATGCGGATGTGAGTGAGTTGCTTTGTGGGCTTAGGGGAATGCGCTAAACGGATGAGGGCCCTCAGGCCACCGGTTGTAGGTGCCACGCGGATATGAGCAAGTCAACTCAGGTCAACGGAATTTTGGAAGAGTTGTCCATTAGACGTAATGTCATTAGACCACTTGTCCGTTAGACGAGTTGTCTTTAGACGAAATGGCCGGCACCCCCTTGGGAAACCCCCCTCCAAACTACACCATTGACCACGGTTGAAGCACCTCAGGCATGGCCCCTTCCGCCGCAGTTTCGGCGCGTCTTGTGTGCCCAGGGTCCCGCGCGGCGCGTTCGCGACCACCACCGCCATGGACGCCCTGTTCCACAGCGACTCCGCGTACGTTACCGTGGCGCTGTTCGCCTGCGGCAACGCCATAGCCATCCTGGCGGGCCTGGTGCTGCAGTGGGTCTGGAGCGTGCTGTCCACCTTTCGGGACCAATTCCTGTGGGCGCTGCTGTGCTCGTGGGCGCTGAGGGACCTGAAGGACGGCATCGTGCGGCGACTGGACTGGAGCCTCAGGGAGAGGTGAGCGCAGCCCTGCCGCGCCTGAGACCCTGATGCGTTTCTCGCCGATTGGCCTTGCGGTGGCTGGTTGGGATTTCGTCGGCATTTGCGTCGGTTACGGTGGCGCGACCCCTTCGACGCTCTGGGCGTTTGTAATCGCCGCGACCGAGGTGCATGGCCGGGTGGGAATTGGGAGGGCGAAGAAGAGGCCATTGACAATGACTGGTTTGTCATCTGCCCGTGCTCTTCCGGCGCCAATGCAGTGTGGGAGGTCGTGGCATTAATCGCTGAGATGGGGCATTTGGTGAGGTGTGCTTGGGCTGTTTGCACAGATCGTTGCCACACTTCATGCTGTCCCTGGCGCTCCTACCCTTCCAAGCGTTTGGCCTTGGTTTGACGTTGACTGGCGCCTCGATGCCTCGGTGCGCGCGCGAGGACAGCACTGGGAGCACAGTCGGTGGTGTGAAATCAGAGGTGATTGGATGGACGGACATGGGCACGAGACAGTTTTTCTTCAGCTGCATTTGAATCAGTATGTGGCGACGTCGTGCTTTAGTCATATGTGCAATGAGCTTCCCTTTCAATCTGTCCAAACTGTGGTGGAAAGATGCCATGATGACAAAGCAAGGAAGAGAAACGAAGAATGAGCAATATTGGAAACACAGATTGGGGCAACATGTTGTGAGTGGAATTGGATTGCAGTGCAGCTTGATGTTGTTCCTGCAGCCTGCATCCGGGCACAAAAGTTTGGGCCAAGAGATCCTTTGGCGGTGGCGGATATATGCCTGCAGGAATGTGGCAATGATGGTATTCGTTTGAGTTTGTATGATAGCAACAGCCGTATCCTCTCATATGTCATTGCTCTTCAACCTTCTCTCACAGCCACATATTCAGCAAGTGTGAAGTTGGAAAAGTGGCAATAGTGTGAATTTCTTCAATCCCTAACAGTGTGCACAAGATTGATATTGCTGAATATAATGCCCAACACTGGGCACACACACAGCCAAAATTCGGCACTCTACTCAAAGTGGTTGAAGCCAGCGTCGTGAAGGACTGTTTCAAGTGAGCATGGAACTCTCGAACTTGACATCAATGCCACTGCCATTTGGGCAGTACGCATATGGCTGATGAGATGCTCACTGTTTGCATACATCAGATTGTGAACTTACACAAACTTGACAATTTTGAAGCTGAACTCAGGACATTTATAGTCTTTGACTAAAAGCATTGAAAACATATAGTGGCAGCTCCACTGTGGATGTACAGCACACATTTGTGTATGAGGGGTGTGTGGCCCTGTTTTCTGTGGTTATTGTTGATATTATCTCCATCCTTGTGCATCACCCAACATAAAGATGGAACAAGGGCAACAGTGTTTGCAAGCAGTGGGGAAGACGTGAATACTGTGCATTGAATTGAGAAAAATTGTGGAAAATGAAGACAGCACCTAAAAGTAGATCTGTATTGGCACTGCACATTCTTTCATGCAGGCAACATCCAATTAAGCACTGGGCTTCCCTCAATCTGAAGTGTTTGTTGGCCGAAGGGCAACTTACAATCGAATTGTTCTGTTTGATACAGATGAGTCACTGTGGCAACAAATGATGCATTTTGTGTCAATACATGCACAGTACAATAAACAGTGGTGCAGCTCAGCTCAAGTGCAGATTCACAGACTCTTGCCCTTCGATTTGGCTGAGACTGCACACAACAACCAATTCTGCAGAATTTTATACGTTTGCTCCAGTATGTAAATGAGTTCTTCTTTGATAGCATCCACCATATGTTGAACAAGCTTTGCCTGCACGTGTGCTTAGCAGCGAAAAGCTGTAAATGTTGTCTTGACATGGTGCCATTGTAGTGGGATTCTCCACAACACACTTCCTCAAGCAGCTCTCAGTGCTTGGAGCCGAAATCACAAAGGGTGGATGAGGGCTCTTCTTCCAGCATGCTCATGGGCTGGCTCGTAAGAGTGACTGTGGCCTATAGCCTGATGTCATGGATGCGGGTGAGGCATATCTTCTGGTGTTTCTTGTCACGTTGAACCCTTGTCTGCTGGCCTGGTATGGAATGCTTGACTGATGTTGCTGTGTACTTGGCATAAAAATGGTCAGCTGCTAGACTGCCAGGTAGCATGCAACAATTCTCAGTATTGGCAGCATTGTGCTTTGCTCGTTGGAGGGTTGGAAAAAAGGAATGCCCGCTGTTCTGCTTTCACCAAAATTCATCACATTCATCCATGAAATAAATACCACAACTTGAGAAGCACAACTTGAGAACAGCAGTACCTGGGGCGTAGCTCTTCACTGATAACAGGATGTGGACTCAGGAGTTTTGGAGTTGGAACTGGGCTGGGCGCACCTTACCCATTGGTGTTATTCTGGCTTCCATCATCGTGCTTGTGTGCTTGGTCTATTGGGTGCCAATCTGTTGGAAGAGGGCTGCTTGGAGATTGAATCCTACAACTGATGTTGGGGCTTCTGCCACACATCCGACACTCAAAAGATCGCAAGTGCTGCAATTTGTGAGTGGCACACTACGCCAGGTGACAAAGGGTGAGCATCATTAATTGTCATGTTTTTGCAGGGTACGCCAGCTCAATGCCTCACCTACACATTAACATTGACATTGCAACATTGACACAGTGATAATCCATAGCATGAGAGTATTTCAGGGAGTGAACATGCCAAGTCACAAGGCTTGAGATCGGCCTCAAGAATGTTCAATTGGATGGTAGTCGGATGTGTGAACTGAAATACTGTGACAAAGGCTCACAAAGTTCTGTTGGAAGACAGCAGTGAGAGACACCTGCAATAGGGTGCTTCTGTAGCAGTGATGACTCACAACTGTTGTGCACCAATTTCAGCAACTGCGAATGACTACCTCTCCAGCAGTGGAGTGACCAATTGCAGCTGCACTGTGCCTAAATTCTGAACCCTAATCATCTGAGCCAAGACTCACTGCCCAAGCTGCCATATGGCAGACAATGATCCCTTGCTGCATGCGTATATTGGGGTGTGCCCATCAGGGTTGCTCATCAGGATAACCCATCAGGGTTGCAAACACCGTGCAAACGCCAAGGCCAAAACCGCTTTGTCACAAACCGCACAATTATTTGTGCACATCTTTTGCATGTTTTTTTGCGACCAGTATACACATTCCACTTTCTGTCCAGCTGGTCAAATCCCCCCCTGTTAATGAACTACTGTACATGGTAGTAGCGATCTAATATGCACAGCGACCCCTCCATCACCAATGTACTGGATGAGAAATTGTGTTTGGCGTCCACATGTGCTGTCACAATGTTCATGAATCAATTTTGAGGAGTCTCAAGGAGTAGATGTATAGGTGAAGTATAATTTGCCCATTGTGTAGAACACTCTGACATGAAATGAAGTGTATTTGTCGCTCATGTGTGTTCGCAGGTGTTCACAAAGTGGATGCTTTTGTACGTTCTCGCCTGCGGTTACTTTTGGATGGCCTTGTGTCCATCGGACTAATCGCGTGCCTTTTGATGGGCTCAGTGCTGCTGGCTGCTTTTGTTTCTGTGCAAATTGTGCATGAAAGCAAATTGGCAGTGGCACAAGTGAACCAAATGGTGTTGAGGTCAAGCAACAAGACTGATTTGGAGGTGGGCAGTGTCAGAATAGTGCTCTCCCATGTTCCGGAAGTGTTTCTGAGGCAATTTGAACATTGGGCAAAGGAGAAAATGATGCGCCAAAAGCTCGTTGCTCTTGGAAGCTTGCCTACAAGCCCCAAGCCCTGAATACTGCAGGAGTTCGACGTCAGCTAGATGTATAGGCTATTGGCCATGAGTGTGCAGTTCATGGGCTTGCAGATCGTACAAGTGGGACAACTTGGAGTGGTAGTTTGTCAGTATAGAGTGTCCTACGTGGTGTGTTTGGGTGGTTTTGCAGAATGTATGCTGTGCAGAAATCAGTAAATGTTCGTGTCCTAAACCCATGTACTTACAGGAATCCTTTAGTGTTGAGGGCCTTGATTGCATTTGAAAGACGAATGGGGTTCACAAGATCTCAAGCACTTGTTGCACCATAGGGAATTGACAGGACCCTCATGTGTTGAAAATGCTCAAAGAACTTTTCAGCAATTGTTTTCTTTGATGTCGCTACAATCGCATTTTGCTGTGAGACCAAAGAGCTGATGTTGGTGTGCTCCACATTGCAGGGTGTCTGGAGCACAGTGCGGGTATATCAGGACAGTGTACTGGGCATGGTGCAGGAGTTTTTGCCAGATGTTACTCAAACGATTGGGAGCAGGGTCGACAGCTTTCTGCAGGCGCACAACTTGACCCAGGTTGCCGTTTACGCAAAGCTCGTGTATGGGCTGACTGTTGCTACACCCTGTGAGGGTGATGAGATGCACAATCTGGCTGCGGATGTGGCAGCTGCCAATGCAGGACTGAGAGCCCTGCAGGAGGCACAGAGCCAGTTGATGCAACAGGTGGGAGCCTGTGCAAGATTGGCCCTCCATGTTTCACCTTTTCGTTTTGTGTGGGCAATGGAGTTGTGTGAATATATGCACCACCAGTATTGTGCAAGCAGCAACTATGCTAGCAATATTCTTTTTTAATCGCATTTGCAGCAGCTGGCTTGGCATCTGTCCTGAGTGCACACACTGCTCCCCAGGCGCAGGGAAAGGCCACACAAGCACATCGTTGCAAACGATCCGCAAACCTGTACATAGATTTGCATGAGCCAGATACGCCAGTTCCCACCTGCATCAAGCATACTATTGGTATATGTATACATAGAGTGTCGCTATCCTACTGATACATAGCACTCCACATGCACCCCAAACAGGAAGCAAGCTAGTTGTGTCTAGATAGAATGGCAAGTAGTCACTGGTGCAACCCACAGGTGGACAAATCCTCTTTCTGAGGTATGCGTAGGTCTCCGCAACACTTGCACTGCAATTGGGAACACTCACAACACTGCCTGTATGGAAGAACATTTCCACATTATGGGCCCCTCTTGCATTGTAGCCTGCTATGCACACAACATCAGCGTTTATGGGTAGTGATAGGTTTTGGTTCATTTTATTTCTTACAGTTTGAAATCGCTATGTACAATACAGGGTTTTCAGGCTTTTCAGACAGTCAACTCTGTTTTTGGAGACTGTTGGAAGCCACAGTCATTGCTGCGCTGCTGGTGCGTATGACATTTCACTTTGCTATGGCATGCCCTCAACAAACAGCATGAGTTTGACCTGGTTTGTATTTTGAGTATCTGTGTGCCTTCCCATGCAAGAAAAGCTCTATAAAAATAATGCCAATTGAGCCTCAGCACATCGACTGGAGACGATATATGACCAACTGCACCACTTGTTGATGCTTGGTGAAAGGGTTGGGGTGGGTGGGAGGGAGGGAGATTAGAGGGTTTGGGCTGCATATTTGAACAATGCTTGGTTTGGTAACACTAGAAAAGCGATTCCCTTGCTGACAGTGCAAGTGCATCCAAAGAACACAAGGTAGTTGCTCATATCTCTGGTCACATGTGCACCATTTGTGGATGAGATGCGCAGTGCTTCAGTATGCTGACTGAGGGCGCTGTGCAGGTTGAAAGCAGGCAAGGAGAGTTTTTGGCAGCAGCAACTCGATGGGAGGCACTGAAGGCAGGGGGACAGTTCAGAATCTTCCCTGGACTTCATGACTATGCATTAAGCATGGCTGGAAACGAACTGGTGGAGTCGCGACAACGTTTGATGGAGGCGAACCAGAAGCTTGCGGATGCACACAAGTAAGTAGAAATGTTTCATTGTGCCTGTTGATGACAACATGTTGCCAAAATTTGGCACCCAGCGATGACCATGGATAGAACTCTGTTGATATGTGAATAGCATGCACCGGAAAACAATATCAATGGCCACAGCAGCATGTCTATACTGCGATCTTGCTGATTGGTGTGATATGCACATGCTTATTTAGGTTTCTTCTGCTCTTGCTCTGGGATCAACCTGCAGCATCTTACTCTTGTGCTTGTCCTGGGGAATTCATTCAGTAATTTTTCAACGTTGTGTTCCTGCTCGGTGAAGAGCCAGGGAGATGGCTGCAAGCACACTGGAGACTGCTGAATTGCAGTACAGCATGTGTGTTCGACAGCCAAATGGAACTTTACTTTTGGAGGAAGGCCCAGGGCATGTTGTGGGGCGAAGGCTGCAATCTATATATGACCAAGCAACCACCCTTCAGGTAAAACCATGTTTCTGTGCTGTACACAATGGGACACAACTGTCACACTCCAACCGAGTGGAACAAACCAGCAGCCTGAACTGAAGTAAATTGGTATTCCTTACAAGGCTGGACATATTCCTTACATTCTTGTGGAGCAACTTAAAGTCAAGGCAGAAAAAACAGAATTTGTGTGTGGTATCCACCTGCTCAAATTTTTGACCCTACAAACCCCAACAGATATATCATATAAGTGCACCCTTAAATAATCGTTATGACTGGTGTCCCTGTTTGTTTGATAGCATTTACCTTCACTGCAGACCTTGGCAGCTGTTGGACGATGGCAGCCGCACAGCCAGCCAAGATCGTTCCCCTGCTCACTCATTGTCTTACTGTACCCAATCAAGCAGACACTGCTGTGCCATTGCTTGTCTGGTGGGCGTTCACAAATTGATCAGACCTGCAGCAAGTCAATGTTAATTGCGCTTTTGTTTCCTGGTGGGGTATGGCCACAGAGAGCCAGCTGCTCTGGTCGGAAAATGTTGTCTTGGTGGGAAGCAGCTGGCGATGACAGCATGACGCTTTGTCAGCAGCTCAAAACATGGTACAGTCAGCTGCCCAGCCCCTTGCTCCTTGGGCGGAGCATCGCAAAAGCTGCTGCTACGAGCATATAAAGTCATTGACTCTGAAATGCAAACGATTTACTGTTCCATGTAACAGTGTGCGCGTGTGTTTACTTCTAACCAGACAGCACCTCCCCTGAACAGGATTGTTTCTGCAACTGTGGACTCTTGGTAATTATGGGCAGCAGTGCAAGAGGCATATTTCAACACCATTCTTGTCTTATCTTCTCTTTCTGTGTTATTGCATCCAGGTGCCACCACAGGGTTTGCAGTCGCTGGAGGAGCTGGCATGATACGTGTTGGAATAGCTTCGTCACCTTTGGAATAAGATTTGTTCTCTTTGCCACCCTCCTGTGGCTGCTGCTGGGCTGAAAAGATCCCATTTACCATGTGGCAGCTACTACCTGTCTCTGAATCGAGTCGTCAGCGGGCCAAGGACGCTGTTCAGAAGGCGTCGCGTTCTTCTTTCGTCAATGAAACTGGCGCTTCCATGCGCTGTTTATGGGTCAGTCCGCATCTTCGGTGTTCACTTCGCCTATTTGTCTGCGTGGCGAAGCGGTCATTTGCAGCTTGTCCCTGTGTTTGTCGTAGCATTCCCAGCTGGCTTTCAGATCCTGCTGCAGGTAGGACACCACCATTGGGGCTGGTGCTCGTTTGCAGCCAGGTGCAGGAAAGAGTCCTTGTTGACGATCAGTTGCGAGTGCATCAGTTCTTGCACTTGTTGCAGCAGGCTGGGCCTTGTGAATTTTTAGCGAACTTGAACGCCTGTGTTTGCAAGGTCGCTCCCAGTGCATGGTATAACTGCAGGTACTACCAGTTTTGTCTTGGCATGTTGTGTGCTGTGCTGTGTTCCAAGGCCAATGATGGTTGTGTATTGGTGTGCCCTCCAAAAGAGTGGTTTAAAGGGCAATGTTCGTCTTCGGAGTGGTGCAGGAGGCATTGCTGACAAGAGTGGGATGAAAGCTAATTATCAACCGTAGCAGGAAACATGGTACACTGGGGATTTCTGTGTGCAGAAATAGCTTGCTTTTTCCTGCTCACCAAAGCAAACATGAGTCCATGCCGATTCGGTTTTATGTGTTTGCTGCTGTTCTTGATGTGCCGCATTATATGTTGTACACATCCCGCCTGACCTCAGATTGATGGTGGACAGCAATTGAACGATGTGCATGCTTGGTCATGGGGAAGGCTTGAAGGCAAGCCACTCTATGCCTTCTCCCATTTTGTTGCTTACAACTATGCCTACGAGAGCATCTTGAACGACATCCCTGACTCTTTGCCATATTTGACTGGTCTGGGAATCGTTGGAGGGATTTACACTTTTGACAACCCATTCCAAGGCGCCCTGTTGGGTCCCATGCTGCTAACGCTGCTGTCTGTTGCCTACAATCTGCACTGCGAATTCCTGGCCCCAGGTGAGCCCTTGCATCTGGGGTGCTAGCATCGTGTGCTGCAGTGTGGCCTGCCGGTTGTCATATAGGATTGTTATAAGCTGAGACCGATGCAGGAGACAATCTTGTGGTCTCAAAGCAGGGAACGTCTCTCATACGATGGTGGTGCGGATGGTTCCAGAATGTGGTATTTCTGCAAGAATTTGTGGATGGCAGCTTGTGCTGCTGTACATCAGCGGTTGGTGTTTTCATTGCAGCTTGCGCACTTCATAAACCCACTTTGCAGCAGTATTCTTTTGCTTTCGCCAAATTGTCATCCCAGTTTTCAACTTGTTATCTCAAAACGCAAATTGTGGCTCAACACAGATGTTCAGGGCCCAAGTGTGAATTTTCGACGCATAGTGCGTTAACCGAGACTACCTGCTGTTTGAGAGCTGTTCAATGCAGTGATCGATGAATGGAGGCCCCTAGCAGAAAGTTCGCCTGCCAAATTGCTGGTTTCCCACCCACTGGCGGTCACTTACTCCCCCATGTTCACCCACCCTGATCATCTGACGCACCACAGCTTTGCATTGTTAGTTCAGCAGTCTATTTTCACTCCATCGTCAATATCTTATGGCGATCAGCGACAGCGTCAGACAGTCGCCAGACAGTCAGGAAATGATCTGCCAACTAGCTTTTCGAATTGCGACCACTGGTCATTTCGACACCTCAGTTGACGTGGCAGGAAGTGACATCCTCCAACTGGCTACACCTGTCGGGGCTGCAGCGTGACCATGCCGTAGTCAATCGTATCAGCTGAGTCAGCACTATTGCTGGCCAGGGTTTTCACACCTGCGACGGCGATCGCTTCAAGTGACAAGCCACAATCCCTGTTGCCATTTGCAGGTGTGACCGCCCATGGCAAGTTGAGACACAATGACGGTGTGCCAAGTGGTGTGTCCACGTGAGCCGGATTTGTTCTGTGTATTGTTCAAATGGCATGGCGGTTCTCCCAAGCGGCCGCCAGGAGTGTGCAAGCGACTTGTGCAAGTGCTTCCGCCGTATACCAGAGTGCATGTTCGTTGTTTTGCAGGTCTGAATCCCCAGCATTCTTGGCCGCCGTTCGTCCCCCTGCCCGCTTACTCGACCGCATCGGCGACACCTGCTGCCAAATCAACGAGGAGTCCAGCTGCGGAGAGCACCGCCAGCTCCAACGACAACCTTTAGATTGAAGCCACGACACCGGAATCGACGCTCGGCGAAGCTCGTTGCCAGCACACTTATTTGGCCAAATTTAGGAAGATACGGTTTGCAGGATGGGGAACACTGCTGAAGCAGCGACTCGTGTCCGCAGAGATGGGATGATTGATGCCGTACGGCTTGCGCATGACCGCCAGCTGGTCACACACGAGCTTCAGAGCCCAATGTCTAAACCACACTGCCAGCTTGTCTGTCAGCATCTGGGGGCTCCGCGAGGCCACGGCAGGAGGTCCAACACGCCAGCATGCCGCCACATGCACGCCTGCAAGATGGGACGTTTCTGAGCTGGAATGACTACAACAGGCACCGCACATCACTGCCCACGATGCTTACATCCGCACGCTGAGGGTGCCGCCCGGTGAAGAACCCGCCTGGGGCAGCACTCTCGATGTAATCCGTTCAGCCATCTGTTCGGGAGTGGTTGCAGCACAGCCTACGGCTGAATGAGGGGTCTCATCCATGGCAGGTCCTTGGTGTCACTGGCTTCCCGACGTTTTGGTGCAGGATTCCCCCCACCCCGCCCTGCTCCTGATCTTGTGTTACAGGAAACTTCACTGTACAAGCCTGGAACAGAGATAATTCCCTGGCACAGCCAGGGAATAGTCTTTCGAAGGTATCCCCACGGAGGCAACGCTCCAGGCAAGCTTGTGGTATGGCAGTTGTGCGGCAGCGGGACGCCTTGTTGGGGGTGGGGTGGGGGAGAGCGGAGGGGGCTCAGTGGTGGTCGCTTTGAAGCACTGTGCGCATTGTTAGAGACCACAGACACGGTGTTTGCATATGGCAATATCCTGGAAGCGAACACGCCCATTGTGCCGTTGCAGATCCCTGTTGAAAATCGGATCTGTGTTGAAGCCCCTGCTCATTGTGCTTGCAGCTCCGTTTCCCCATCCATCACTGTGCTGCTGGTCCTCTCTGTGCCCTAAAGTTCATTCACTTCCGCTTCCCGCTTTCAGAGTCAGCACAATTCAAAGGTGAACTAGCCGGTTGCAGCCCTGTGCTTCTGCGGGTGGCTCTTTGAGGTAAGAATCCATTTCATTAACCGGCTTGGGGGCGGCGGTTAAGCTGCAGCCCATGCTGGCTCGCGCCCCTCCTGCCCTTGCAATTCGAAATCAACTCCCAGCGAGGCCGCCACACATGCCCTCAGGGCATGTATGGCGGCCTCGCTGTGCTCAGGGCATTGCCCTGAGCACATTTCTGTGTGTGTGTGTGCCCCACCCATGCTGCCTTACTGCGATCCATATGAACTCCCTTTTTTTGGAGCCAAGTCTGGGCCCAGCCACTGGGTAGTTTGCAAATATCGTGTGGAAAGAGATGCGCTTTTGTCCTGTTCTGACGTGGACCAGCACGATCGAATCCGACAAGCTGCAGAAGCGGGCCACTGCAGAGCCAACAAATGGAGAAGGAATGCGTGGCAGATGTGTATAGAGATCCCAAGATGACAAATGTCGCAGTCAAGAGGGTAAGATGGCAATGCGTTTGCCCTTTGCCGGTTGTCTTTGGGGGGTCGGTGGCCTTTCTGTTACGCTCATGATACACCGAGCGCACTCGAAATCTCAACCGCACTGAACCTGGGAGCTTTGCTCCAGCCAATCGGTAAACAAGAGCTATGCAAGGCATCCCATCAAGAGCCAACAATGTGCATTGAGGTCTAGATTTCAGAGAAAAGGAGTTTCTGTCCAGCATTTACACCATGCTCCTTCTGTCAAGTCCAGCATTCCAGTCAACAATGCTTACAGGGGCTGCAACCAGTGCACATAATCATACAAGCACCCACCAGCTTCGCTGCGTGCTATCCCTAACATGTGGCCATCGCCCCTCTCTCATCATGATGACCACAAAACACCCGCTCACACTCGAGGTTTGTAGCTATTAGTGACGATCTTCACTGTTGATGCCTGCAACAGTACCCACAGCAAGGAACTGTGGTTCACAAGCCCAGAAACAACACCACTGAGTGCACGCAATAGTGCCTGCTACCAGCTTGCTGCTCAGAATCTGCTTGGTCCCACCCAACATCTTTGAGCTGGCACACAATACACACCAACTGAACACCTGCCGGTGGCTTTAAAAGACAACAACTCCACAGCTCGCTAGGCATCAACGCTTGAGATGACAAATTTGGAATCAATGCAGGAAGAATGTCCCGAAGTGTGGGAAAGGTACCCCATCCCCCAACCCCCTCCAGCTATACACACACATTTGGTGGGCAGTCAGAATGTCCCACTCAGAAAAGATCCTGACCAAGAAGGACTGAACCTTCAGCTGTTGTCACTCGTGGCAGGATCGCGCAGTGGAGGACACGCCACAACCGGAATCCCGTGTCAGTATCCAGCCTCCATAAGCACCTGTCTTGCATTGCAGGGTGTGCTTCACAACTTCCTTCGCCTGTACCTGATGTGTGACTGCTTTGGTCCTATCACAAGGCCCTCATAGTCTGGCTCTGGGAAGGAATCAACCATCTCAAACTCAAAGTTCCTGATGAGGTAGCTCCAGATCGTCTTGATCTGGATGAACGCAAAGTTGTACCCCATGCAGCCATGCCTCCCACCGCCAAACGCAATGTATGTGAAAGGTCTCTTCTGGTCCTCTTCCCTTGGTGGCAGGTACCTGTCTGGGTCAAAGTCTGCGGGCTCCTTGAACAAGTCTGGCAGCGAATGTGTGAAAGTTGGTGATGTTGCCACAACATCACCTTTTGGGATGACGTAGGTCTTCCCCGCTTTGGTGGTCACCTCGAATGACTCACGCACATAGCGCAGAATCAGAATCAGGGGGGGATGGAGCCGCAGGGCCTCTTGCATGACTCTGAGAGACAAACCAATTGTCAGTGCACGCCTCTGGAATAGTGTCGATGGAATAATCTTTGAAGCTTTGGCATAAGTGAAAAACACCTGCTTCTGAAGCGAAGTTGCAGAACTGAACTTAGGTGGCAATTGAACTTGGTTTCGAGTATGGCAGGAGTGGTGTCACAAATGATGCAAGCATGTGAAGAGAGCACACTCGCCCCTGATTCTACGGTCCCAAGGCAAGAAAGTGCATGGCCCTATGCCCAGGCCCAGGAATTCAGCGTTCACCAATACCTGTGCAGCACAGGCATGTTTTGCACCCTTTCGTAAGTGATCTCCTCGCCATGCTCCGCCATGATCTGCCGCTGTTCCTCAACGGCCTGCTGCCACCACTCCTTCCTCGAAATGAGGTAGTAGCCCGTCCAGGACGCCGTCGATGAGCTCGTGTGCTGCCCGGCAAACAGCGCCGCGATGAGCAGCCCCGTGATCTCCTCGTCGGTTAGGGCCCGCCCGTCGAAATTGTTCTTGTACCTTGCGTCGATGAAAGTCTGCAGCAGGTCTGTCTCCTTGGCGCCGGACGCCCTGCGGGCCTCGATCACCTTCTTGTACAGCGCGCCCAGCTCCTTCCTGGACTTGTCCCTCTGGCGGTGCGCCTGGATGGGGAGGTAGGGGAACAGAAACGAAACGGGCAGCATGCCAGCGTCCAGGTCGTGGAGCAGCCTGGACACCTCCGCGAACAGCACCTCGCGGATCTCCCGTCCCAGCAGCGTGCGGCTTGCTGTGAGGGTGACGAGGCTGCCCATCTGGCTGCTCAGCTCCTCAATTCCCGTCTCGCCCCACGCTGAGAAAAAGTCCTTGGTCTCTCCCAGGATGAGCGGCTGGTACTCCTTCAGCTTGGATGCCTTGAGCGCCTCCGCGAAGAACCTGAACTGCTCCGTGCGCACCTTGATGTCCACATCATACACCACGCCCGGCCCGAAGGTCGGCACGTTGAATCCGTACACCTCCTTTTGGCTGATAATATCGTCCGTGGCCTTGAAAAAATGTGAGGTCACGTACGGCCCATTCAGGAAGGTTATCCGCTTGTGCAGCACGGGCACGGTGAAGACCTCGCCGAATTTGGCGTAGCCCTGCTGCAAGAGGGGCAGAGGGGCCAGGAACTTTAAGAGGCCGCCGATGAATGGGATGCCCTCAAAGATTGGGGGCCGCTTGCTGGGGAGGGCGTTGAACGCGAGGCGGGCGACCGCCAGGGAGAGCAGGGCCACCACGGTGGCGGCAAGCCAGAGTGCGCCGGCCGGGACGGAGGCACCTTCAAAGTCCAGCAGCGACGCCATTGCAGTCGTGCACAAGGAGTGCAGCCGGCGCGGGAACGCAAGTTTTTATGGTTCTTGCTGTTCTAATCCCATCCGCTCTTGTGAATCAAAGGGGAAGTCACGGGAAAGTACAGTGGCAGGCATCCCGCACAGCGGCAATGCCATCCAGCAGAGACGCAGTGCCAGTGTTAAAACTGCCGTTAGTCATGAGCACCGGTACATCAAAGGCGGGCTCATGACCGAAATAGGGCAGCTGACTAGGCCACTATCAAACAACCAGTCAGGGTGAAAGTGAAAGGAGGAGAGAAGGGAGCGAAGAAAAGAACAAGATATAATTTACATAAGAAAAGCAAGGGAAACTTGATAATATGATGCAAACGGCATATTGAAAGCACATCCGATAGTTGCTATGCCCTTACGGTTTATGGTGCCTAACATGCTGCCTGGGCAATGGCTGTAGGGGAAAGACAAAGGGAAAAAGGAGGCAAGCCACCATCTTTCAGTGGCTGTCTAGCTCTTGACATGCTGAAGAGCATTGATAATATCTGACTGGAGCTCGATTGTTCATAAGCATGGCCACTCAAATCTTTTGAGAAGGCGATGCAGTTTGTTTCATGAAAGGGCAGCATCAGAAGCCTAGATTTGATGGACACAAATGTTTCCATTTTAAAGCAGATCAGAAGTTCTGCATTTGACGGTTGTTTGGATGTTGTATCTTGTAGTTGTAATCTACATAAGCATCTGATCAAGAAAGGATAACCAGCTGAATGCATGAATAGAGCGCATTGAGACGTTCAGCCGAGGGATGTCGACGGGACACATGGGCAAGAACTGGATAAGAAAAATATGCATAAAAAACTTTGCCGTAAATTACAAGGAACTGGATGAACAAAAATCAAGTTCACCAACATGCGTGGCGAACGGAATGGCTGAAGAGATAGCAAATGAAGTATGGACAATATTTGAAGATGAAAAGGAAAGAAAGATGAGGCGGTGCTATTGGAGTTTATTCATAATTTAGTTTAAAGGTCTGCAACTTGGCACAATTGAAAAGCGAATGATGAAAACATAAGTCTTGGTGTAAGCCGTCGAGTACACCAGCCCTAATGTGAGCCTGATGTGACTGTTGAACCTGAAGTCATACGGCCACACAACTCAAAGTTTGTTGTTGTGTTGATCGTTGATAAGAAGAAAGGGAAAAAGGGTATTTTTGAAAGAATGGCTGACAGTTCATGGCAGGGATTAAAGGCTAAGGAAAATAGCTTGAGGAATTGCAACAAGGAAGAAAGGGATGTAAAAGAACAAAGCTATACGGTGGTGAAGAGCTGGTTGAACATTACAACATTTCGCTAAGTACTTGATTACTATGAAAGTGGCTCCAAGTAATGAGCCGGGAATGCTGGAAGAATGCACCAAAATGGTCTGGCAATTATGCACCCGCCAGAGTATTAAACTAGGCGGTGACTATGATTGAGGTGATGCACGGAGCCAGGGAATGGTGCACCGGGAGAGCTGCTGCCATGTGAGGCTCATCTTGATGATTAAGCATGACCCACAGGGCAATATGGATGGTGCCAAACGGTCGGGCTGATTTGTAGCCTTGAAACACCTAAGAAGAGCTTTAGAATGCAATTGAAACCCAATACCAGCCTGTCACAAGCCCTTCCCTGGCTTGACGGGGCAGCGGTGAACTTTATGCATTACCTTTTACTTGCATATTGGTGATGTAGTTTGATTAACATCTATATTCAGATATTGCACTATGATGAAATGTGATCGCCTTGCGTTGCTTTGACCCCCACATACCCGAATTGATAATGTCAAGTGTACGGAGACAACCCTAGATGTTGCCGAATATGACTGGGCCTTTTTTTATGTGTCACATATATTGACGGTTGAGTCAGCCGTACAAAGCCATGGGAATAGACCTTGCACCCGAGACACCTCTGCTTAAGACCCACACGGTGGTACGCCATATGGGTATCAAAATCCATTAAGGTAATATAGATTATATTGATTTCTATTATTGGAAATCTAGTTTACTAGAAACCTTCCCCTTATCACTGGTCTAGGGTGACTAGCTTCTCTAGATTATGCATGTAATCTCAAGCCACGTAAAGTACAAATATATATACAAATATATATGGGAAAATGACAAAAGGGGGTCCTCTGCGAGATATCTTGACAAAAGGGGGTCCTCTGCAGGGGTGTATTTGACAAAAGGGGGTCCTCTGACCGCCCCCTGTACATTAGGTGCGTTGCCAGACCGGCGCTAGACCAACGCCAGACCGACGCCGTACTGGCACCGGTTTGGCGCCAAACTGGACCACGGTCCTACTAGGGGCGGCCCCTTTGGGAGGGCGCTGGGAGCGCACAACGGTCGGAGCTGTGGGAGGAAGTCATAGCGATCGAAGTGGAGGCCGCAGCGGGGGAGACCAAGTGGCGATCGGGGCTTTGGGGAGAGCAAGCGTTCCGATCTGTGCGACTCCCTCCTGGAGCTCCAATCGCCACTTGATCTCCCAGGCAGCTCCGATCACCCCCTGCTTTCACTACAGCTCCAGTTGCCACTTGCTCTCCCTACAGGCCCGATCGCAGCTTGGTCTCCCCCGTTGCGGCCACAGCTCCGATCGCTACGACTCCCTGCGCCCTCCCAGAGGGGTCGCCCTTAGTAGGACTGTGGTCCAGTCTGGCGCCAAACCGGTGCCGGTACGGCGTCAGTCTGGCGCTGGCCTGGCGCCTGTGTGGCAACGCGTGTAATGTATAGGGGCCGGTCAGAGGACCCCCTTTTGTCAAATCCACCCCAACAGAGGACCCCCTTTGTCACAGAGGACCCCTTTTTGTCAAGATATCTCACAGAGGACCCCCTTTTGTCATTTTCCCAATATATATTATACCATCTTGTAACGGGTGGCCCGGCGTGAGTCATATTGACTCACTTGCCATAGTCAAGTGGGCCTATGGCCTTAGCGGAGAGGCGCCCACCTTAGCATTAGTCGTGTATGATTTGGTTTCGGAGCCAGGCCCCCACAGTTTGGCCCTTCCACCTATGCACTCATGCGACACACTGCAAAAGCAAGCTGGCCACCAAGCCCTAAGGCTCAGTGGGCCGAAGCCCAGGCATCCCCGCAAATGTCCGAGGAAATTCCGGGGCCATCCGGCCCCGATGCGCCCTCTCCCAGCCAAAATGGTGGGGAGAGCGGCGAGGTGCCATTCCCCACGGAAGGCACCAGCAAGGAGGGTGGATCGCCACCCTCCAAAGCCATGGAGTTGTGCTGCTAGCTCGCCGATCTGGCGAGCATATTGGCGGACACCAACACCCGCCTCCAGCAAATGGAGGAGGCGGTGAAAAAGGGGAACCAGCGGGAGCAGCGCCGGCGTGATCCTTCGGGATCATTGGCTGAAGGCGGAGGCAGGAGGGCGCCAAAGGTGCTGAGGAAAGGCCGCTCAGCGGAGGACCTCAAGGACCCAGAGGACAAGGGTTCAAAGCAAGAACCCAGCAAGATCGCCGGCGAGGAAAGGGGCGGCCATGGGCAGCACCCTTCCATTCAAAATGCTCTTATTAGGCCATGCTCCAAACTCATTTTGGTAGCACATTTCTACTGTGTCGATCCTTGCACCATAGGGTATTGTTTGAATATCATCCTGCAAATTCCTTTATATTGGGCCAGTGCTAGCAGCACCCGCCACTATAATAGATATATTGATCTTGATATTTCTGGTGTGTGATATTGCGGTTCTGCCATCGCGGAACCGCAAGTGACGGTGTAAGGTGGTCGTGCGATGATACTTGCCATAGGGATTTGTGCAATATTACTACAAACCCTAAGGAATAGGACCAGCCATCGAAGATATCCTATTTGCAGGCCTTTGCACCATAACACTTCTATTGCATTTGCATTTATTTGCAGGCAAAGTAACTTTGCCTTGACATTACTATTATGTTACAACTCTTTGATGTAAAAGGCCGAGCTTTGAAACCTGTTGAATGCAAGGCGCAAGTACAATGCAATACTGGCAACCAAGCCACTGGCGCCTCTGGTGGCTAACCTTGCAGTTCCGTCATTGCAGAACTGTAAACAATCGTTGTTTACCATTATGGTTCTCAGGTGGCCCTCGCCTATTTCCTGCCACTGGGATATGCACAATATGATTATCCAAGTAGCAGGACTGGTCATCCAAGAAACCCTATTTGCAAGCCTCCGTGAATTCACACTTTTGTTGCATTTGCACATGTTTGCAGTCAAAGTCATGTCATAGCTATTACACAAAAAGGCCATCCTGAGGGCCTAACCAAATGGTCGGCGTAGATATAACGTGAAGCTGGCAGCCATGCCATGGGCGCTTCTGGTAACTAACTTTGTGGTTCCGCGATTGTGGAACCACAAGCAACAGTCCGAAGGGTGGTTGAGGCCTACTACCCACCGTTGGGATGTGAACATGCCCCCGCGCTTGCTCACCATGCCTTGTATCTGTCAAGCGGGATCTGTATGCACAAAGTATGAAGAGGGGAAACAACACACACAAAAACATTGCCCCCTTGATATTACAAGTTTGAATAACATGTGGTACACCCAAGAAGCATTAGCATTAGTATATAACAATAATGGCTAATCCACATAAAGATTGGTGGAATGAAGGCGGGGAAGCTCTTGACTTAGACACTCCTGTCAGCGCGGCTACAAGCGGCCATCTCCTCCCACCCATTGTTCATTCACCACAACCGTCCAAGGGATGACCTCCTTTTGGCCCGTTAGGAACCATAGGTTGTTGAGCTTGACTTCTTCACTGATGAAAGAATGGTTGTCATGGTCACAGTTCTCCACAACGCCCTTGCAAGTGTAATACTGGATTTCAAAGTGGCGGATGTCATATCCGTTTTCCTCACTTGGGTCCAATACCTTGGTGACTCTGGCAATGTCAAAGATGCGGGCCTAGGCGTCAGCAACTTTGTCTGCCATCTAAGCAGCAATAATCACCCCGGGGGCGACGTTGTGCTCCAGTCAGAATGGCCTCACGTTGGC